ATGATAATTAAAAATATTATTATCAAAGAACTTGTTCTAATTCTAATAATTATAATATATGTTGCTTTTATACAAATTCAAACTATAATTCATCAGTTATACAAATTTATATTCACTAGTTCACTTTAATTCTATTGATTCAATATTCACTTATTTGTTCACTTATGCATTTACTTGTTTATTTGTTCACTTACTTATTTGTTTGCTCATCCCATGTAATTATATTCTTTTAATAAAATATAAGATATTTATAATCCAATAATATTAAGTATAAATAATCCAATAAAATATTTGATCAAAGTTCATTATATAACAATATTAAAGAGAGATATCTTTGAAAATTTTATAAAGAAAGCATCAAAATATTATATATTTTTCACTAATTGGATAATTATGAACAAGAGTTAGAAGAAGTAATCAGATAAATATAAGAATAATGTAAAAATAATATTTAAATTCTATGTTAATTTCTACTGAAATTGTTATAATTCAAAAAAGAAAAAGAATAAAATAATGATATTTCAATTAAATATAGTATTCTAAATAATTGTACTAACTAATTAATTTATGAATTATTTAATTAAAGTGACAAATAAATTAATTAACTAATTAAAATAACAAAAATAATAAAAGTAACAAAGATTCTTTCACTTCATTCTTCTTACAAGAAAGAGATTATGATGTCTTTAATTAGGAATTCCAAATGATTTGATTATAACAAAAACATTAAAAGACTAGTCTATAACAAATTAATATTTTGATTAGCTCAATATGATCTCAAAGTTACTTGTTTACAAGATTTGAAGTATATAGTTAAAAGAGAAAGATAAATTATTTAAGTATTAAAAGGTATTTATTTTATTATATTATTTATTTTCAAGTTTTGACATATTGAGTTAGAGCTCAACTATAACTTATATTTATATATTTTTCATGAAATACAAATATAATATTAAAAACAAAAAAAGATATAAAAGATAATTATACTAACTAAAAATGGAATTTCAATTTACTAAATATAAAAAATAGAAAAATAAAGGAAAAAAAGTATAAATTTCAAAGAATTATGATTTGATTAAATTATATTTACTCAGGATATAAGTATAAAAGTATAAAAAGTATAAATATATAAAAGTATAAAAAGTATAAGTATAAATATATAAAAGTATAAAAAATATAAAAAGTATAAATATATAAAAGTATAAAAAGTATAAGTAGAAAATAAAAATATATGAATATAATAATTAATAATATATAATGAAATTGTAAAACATTCTAAGTTCTTTATATAATTTTCATAATTTTGTAAAATATTACAAATTATAGAATTAATGATTTTTATAACATAACTATAATAATATAAAAATATTTGCAAAAATCATTTTTTTTCACAAAATAGTAAAGAAATTTTATATAATTTTGAATAATTTTGTATAGTATTTTTAAGACATGATATTTTCGCATCTAGTAAATCAAATTCAATAATTTTAATATTATTAAATATATCTTGACTAAATCTTTCTAATGATATCAAATTTATTTAACTTAATTTACAATATGTGAAGATATTTATATTTCTTTAAACTGAATTTTTTTTGTTACCAAATTTAAAGTTTACTGCAATTCTGCTAGTATTTTAAATTTCTGATGAGTATTCTTAATTAAGATAAAATTATTTAATTAAATATAATTATTAATTAATTTTGAAAAAACTAGATTATTAATAATATCTTAAATATATTAAAATAAATTATATTTATTTAATTTAAATTTATAAATTTTTAAATAAATTTATTAATTCAAAAAAATTTTTTAAACAAAGTAAAATTTTAATATAATTAATTATTTTAATTTTATTATATATATATAATTAAAATAATAAAAAAATCAATTAATTTACTTTGCAATTAAAAAAATTCTTTCAAATTAAATATAAAAATCTGGAAAAAGATATATATTAAAATATGAATTATTATTTGTATTTTATATAAAAATAAAAAATTTTAATTATTAAAATTGAAAACTTTTATATAAAAAAAATTTCATATTTTATTATAATTTTTTAGTAAATTTTAAAAGTAATATATTGTTTTTATAAGTTATTATATTTAATATTGAAAAAATTAAATTAAATAAATACAAATAATTATAATTATAAAGAATTATTATTTATAATTATTTTTTATATGATAACAAATAAAAAAATGCAATAGTATTGAATTTATTAATATAATAAAATATAACTTTTTTCTTTAAATAAAAAATTTTAATTTATTAATCAAACATATAATTTTTCAAATTTTTTGAATTCAAATATCTAATGACAAAATTATTGTAAAATTTTTATTGATTAATTAATAACAATTTTATAATAACTTTGCAATTAGATTTTAAAATATATATTAAAATATAAAGTCTGATTTTTTTGATATAAACATAAAAAATATTAATTAATAAAATTAAAACTTTTTATATAAAAATCCTGTATTTATTATATTTATTAACATTGTTATATTTCTTTTAATTATTATTATAATTATACTTTGATATATTAATATTTTGAATAATTATTAAAAAATTTAATTTTATATAGTTAAAAATATAAGAAATATAATTATAATTACATAATTATATATGTTTGAATGTGTAATTATATAAAAAATTAATTATATTTATTTTTTATAAATTTTTTATCTCTGTTAGTATTAATTCAAGATAAACAAACAATTTAAATCAAAAATTTCAATTTATAAATTTGATCTACAAAAACTTTTTTCTAATCTAATTTTATATATAGTGCAAACAGTTACATCAAAGATTTTACAGATTATTACTTATAAAACTGGATATGATTGGTCAGAATTATTACAATGTGATTATTTTTTTATAATTAATGCTGAAATTTTTAAAAAGTGCATTATTTAAAATTGTATCTTCTCAGTACTTATCAAAAAGGATCTATAAAATATCGGTATGGTATGGATAACCGGATGAGTATGGTGCGAGAAAAAGATTAACATGTACTACCAGTATAATGATAACACATACTACTGGTAGGATTATTACATAACGATAAACTATACTGTCTTGATTTTTATACTGTACTATACTACATAAATCTTCTAAAGTAACCTATATTCCGAATCCAACCCATACCCTAACCCTCTTCCAATACAGAACATGAAATAGAACAGTACATGTAGTTACGTATTACTGTACTACCCTCACGTGATGCATACCATACTGATCTGGATCATACTAATATTCGCATTACCCTATCAAAAACTATTAAATGTCGTATTTTTTTTACATTTTAAGTTCATATAAAAACATCGCACTTGATAATTCATTTATGTAACATTATATCTAGATGATCGATAGTATAATTTTGATGTAGATCATTCAATTTCACTAAAAAATAGGGGTGATGCGTTTTTTTTGCTGGAATATAGAATGTATCGGTATTCTTGCAGAAAATTTCTGACAAATAGAATTTATAATCAGAACGAGAAATTACATAGTAGTACACAGCTTTCCCACGACTCTCAAGGATCGAACACGTTATTTATTGACGATTTAAGCTTGTCTGCTGTTGTTAATTCGGTATCACAGTTTCAAGTATTGTCGATTGTTTTTAATAAAAAAAAGTTTTGTGCAACATAAATATCGAATAATGCAACACACGATTTTTTCCGTTCTTTTTTAGAATGTCCTTGTGACTCAAAATCTGAATGTGAAAGAAATACATATAATCATTTATATGCATATAACAATGAAGCCTCTAATATAGGAATCAACATTTCTTACGTACATTCATATTCTCGAACTTGAAAATAGATTATTCTTGTAAAATACTAATAGTATTTAATGAATCAACTCAAAAGAATCCAAGTTTGAAAAAATCAAGATTGATTCTTGTTTATTGATAAATGACAAAGTAAATGAGTGAAACCTAACCTTTTAGATTGTTTATTTATGATACATCTCCCCTGAAGATTTCGTTAGTTTGTCGGCAAGAGATAATTGTAAAGAAAAGTATTCCTCCATTGATTTCCCTTTATTTATATTAGATCTTGACTATGTTTCGCCAAATAATGCATTAATGACTGCTTTCTTGCATCTTTATTTTGCAAACGCAAGAGTTTTTTCTCGATTTGTTAATGTATAGATAAGAATGTATTGATAACGATAACAAGAAAGCATTCTTTAAAGAATGAATTTCAAGATAGGCATTGATTCTCAAATTGCATTGATTCTCAAATTACATGCTATTTGAAAATATATTTATTTCCTCATTACGGTAATGATTGATTGTTTGTATGTATTTATATGAGATATGGTGAGACTGCGGATAGAAGCGAATCAAAGTCGCGTGAGTTAAATGTATGTTGTACGATGATAACGACTATCCATACGTTAATTGATGTCAAAAAAAATTTGGAAAATAACAAATCGTCGTTCTCCTCGTTCTTGTATTTATCGTTATTGTTGTTGTAGATAAAATAGAAGCAAATCAACAAAAAAAACCAGAATCAGAATAAAAAGAAAAAGAGGAATACTTGTTGATATTCAACAATGGATAACAAAATTTATAGTTTTCATCTTCTGATAATTTCCCATGTCAAAACCCCCAACGTGTCACAATCATCAATTGATGGATTTAATACAGACCCGAAATTCGGGCTTATCATTGAACACACCAATAAAAATAAAATGCTATTATTCTAAATTTTACACCTTTTTAAGGAGGCATTTCTGACAAGTGTTTTGCGTCTTTACTTTTCTCTTTAATATCAATTTGTTCGTGCGTTCGGCGCGGCGATTTTTTTTTTGAATTTTCGCATTATTGAAATCCCTTTTTTATTTTTCATTGTAATTATTTTCATTTTTGTGTAATATTTTCTTCGTTATACGAACGGGGAAATTCTTATCTATAAATTTCAATATCTTTTTTTGGGTAGAGATAAAAAAACAAAATCACAAAAGTCCTTTTAAAAAATATGCGCTCTTTGTCACATCTCTGTTCGAAAACTACAACAACAAAATATCACACAATAACGACTACTACGCGATCTTGTCTAAAGAAGAGTTCTCTTAAAAGAGCTTTTGCAACAGTAATCTTCATATTATTGAGCATCGCGCAACCAAGTTTTGCCCGAGATAATGTCACACGTAAATATACTAAACATTTATTTGCTCGCCTCTCCTGCCTTTGGAATAACAATAGACTAATTGACATTTTTAATAGTTTCAAATATAGATTGTTTGGCAATCGGGAATAATTGCGGAGCATGTTCAGTGAATTTAGAGTGTGGTTTTTGTGTCACAGTAAGAAGAAATTAAACAATTATTTTTTACATAATTTTCTATTAGTTGTCATTATTAATTATTTAATCTGGATGAACTGTACACGTCTATTAGGATCAGAAATGTGTTCAAGGAGGTTGGAACGGACCTTTCAACAATCCTTCAATATGCCAAGACAGATGGGAGTATCAGTTCGGACAGTGTTTTAGTAAGTCGGGTCTATTATTAATACTACTAACCATATACAATTCTGCATAAATATAAATAATAATAAAAAAATTAATAATAATAAAATTAATAATAAAATTTAATAATAATAATAATTTAATTTTAATATATATCGATTATATCCAATCACTCTTTCGCAAACATTAATAATAAATTTTATTTAATCACAAAAATAGTAACTCATAAGATAGCGCTTATATCAGTATCATCGGCACTAGTTGGTATCATTCTACTTCTTCTATCGCTATGCTTTTGCTGTTGTCTATATCGATGCTGTTGCGCCGCAACAAGAGGCAGTAGTATTGGCACAGACGAAGAAAGAAATCCTTTATTGGGTGGGGAGTCAGTAGCCACGCATCATTTTCGTCGTGCATCATTTTACAACTATAATCGTAATCGACCATTCGAAAGACGTGGTCGTACTCTAAGTTCCGGGACTGCAAACAGCACGATGCAGTACGGACGAAATTGGCGAAACACTGATGAGTATATGTACGGATATGGAGGTCCATCCATGCTCTGGGAAAACGATCATAATCCTCCACCTACAGCTGTTGAGGATTTCTCGGTAGGATCGCAGGGAAACGGTAACCCTGGTGAATGGCGAAGATGGGAGAAGAAAAGAGAAGAGCTGTTGGCAAAGTATGGAAAAAGTAGCGATGCTTGATTTAATTAATTAGTTTTGGTATTTAGTGTTAACTATTTTTTTTCTCATTCTTTATGTGATTTGACCAAAAAAGAGTTTATTATTGATTGGTTACTTCGACCATTTTTTATTTATCTACATATCCTAAATCTAATATTAGTTTCTAAGAAATACAAATTTGTCATTTCTTTCTTTCATTGTACAAAATTTTCTTTTTTTCCTTTTTTATTAGCATTTTTGCTTATTTGCGTATCTGTATGCGGTCTGTATATAACCATATATATATATACACATACAGATACAGATACTTATATATCAACCCAGCATTTTTATTGACTGCCGAATTTTTCTTGTACATGTCATATTTATTTTTTTTTTACATTAATATTTTATTATTATTTTATTGTCAAAGTTTTTGAGTTTGTCCCAAATATACAATGCGTTTAATACGGATTTCGTTACGAAGAAGCATTATTATTAATTGGTTTTTATTTTACATTGGATTCTTGCTGTATCTGTTTTACCTTGGTTATTTTCCCGAATTATCATTATATTTTTGGGGAAGGATTTCGTTTCGATTGGATGTCGTGTTATATTCAAACACGCGTTTTTTCACGGAAAATCAAATAATTTATTTTGGTTATTTGTTGTACCAGATATATTTTAATGCATATGCGTTTCAGTATATGGAAAAGATAATTATTGTGCCTATTTCTTTGTGTTAAGTTCCATCCACCTCATTCTTTGCTATTTTTGGCATCACGCAATAATTGTATTTGTTTTCTTTTTTATCATGCCGATGGAAATGAGCTTAATGATAGATGCATAGCAAAAACAATCACTCGGAATTTGGTTCAGCATACACATTTGATAAATCTTGGATTTTCGGATCTCGTTCTTTTTCTTACGCGTCAATGACGCACTTTTAATTCTATATTAGTATCACGGATAATCAGCTGTAAGCGTGTGACTGACATTGCATTGTATTGTATTTCACGACAGACACGTGGGTAGAAATTTTTTTCAGGCGCTGTTACCTAAATAGAAATAATCTATTCTTACAGTAAGGGGTTCACCAAAAAGAACAGCAAATTTAAAAGTCCGTTTGTAGCTTGCAAAGATTACACTCACACGGTTCTTTTTGACCTTTTCCAATTCCAGTATTTCCACGTATGAAAGAATAACCCTTTACTGTAGTTATATTACATAGTTATCATAACCTGATAAACACGTTAGAAAATGGCGGGGCAACAAAAGGATCTAGATTTTGTCATTTTTGGTGCAACAGGTAACTTACGAACGAAACTGAAACAAATGAAATTCCAATAAAAATCGATTTTTATAAATTTAATGGAATCCTCGTTGTTTTTGAGAAAGGCTTCACTGGTAAACTAGTAGTCGAAGAATTCTATCGAGCAGCACAACACTACCAAAATTCCTCTCAAAACCCCAATGCCCCAAAATTCACGTGGGCTATCGCTGGACGATCGGAGACAAAATTATTCGAGATGGCAAACATTATCAGTATCACGACGTCCTCGAGTTCTGTACGACAACCGGAAATGATCATTGCAGACATCACGCGACCAGAAACTTTAAATGTTATGGCTAAACGTGCTAAAGTTTTGCTTGCATGTGTGGGTCCATTCAGGTTGTATGGTGAGCCAGTAGTGAAAGCATGTCTGGAGAATCACACAGACTATGTGGATATTACCGGGGAAACGGAATTCATTGAGCAGATCCAGATAAAGTATCATGAATTGGCGAAAACGAGTAATGTTACAATTATTCCCGCTTGTGGATTTGATTGTGTATGTGTGTTTTTTGTGGTTCTATTTGTTGGAATATCGGATCACGCGGTTTGTTAGTAATTTTTAATTCCAATTTTGGTGTAGTTGCCAGCGGATTATGGTTTGTTGTATACTAAACAGCAATTGAAAGAACTTCGTGCTCTTCCTTCCTCGATTGAATTGTTTTATAAAACTAATGTGGGACCTTCTGGGTTTACCCTACATTATGCAACTTATGAATCAGCAAGTAAGTAAATTGAGCTTATTCAAACTGATTTCTTATTTTGTGAGCAAAAATTTATATAATTCCATTCCGGATAGTCTTGGCAATACAAAATATTGATAATATACGTAAATTACGAACATCTGTGAATCGACCACGCGTCCCAAAGATCGGACCAGAACTTAAAAAAATCCCAAATGGCAGATGGGAGAAACGCGTTGCTGGCTACGTGACGCCATTCTTTTTTGCGGATCCGGCAGTGATTCGACTTAGTCAACAGCTCGATATCGAAAATGAGAGTGATGTGCCCCCTGTACAATTTGCTGCATATTTGGTTATTCCAAAGCTAATGTATTTAATTGAGATGTTGGTCTGTTATAAGATTTTAAGTTTTCTGGCACATTATTCATGGGGTCGGTGGCTGATTCTCAAATTCCCGAGATTATTTACTTTAGGTATGTTTTTTTTTTTTTGTTTTTTGATTGCAACTGAGAATATCGAATCGATTAATATTTCTTTATCGTTTAAAGGCACTTTTTCACATGAAGGACCAACATTAGAACAAATCCAACAAACAAAATTTGAGATATCATTTTACGCTCGGGGATATTCTCAAGAATTAATAGATACCGTGATAGAAGCAGAAACATCATCAACGGTGTTGATGTCAGCTGAAACCACTCCATTAATCCAAGACAACCAAAATTCTAGGCCCGTATCATCCTCAACATTATCTGCAATGCGACTAAATAAGATTAAACCTGATGTAGAGATTATCACTCAGGTGGCAGGCCCGGAACCGGCATATAGCACCACCACAATATCTATCGTTCAGTGCGCTTTCACTTTATCATTAGAGAAGGCAAAAATTCCTGCCGGCGTGTTAACCCCTAGCGTGGCTTTCGGGAAAACAGAATTGTTGCAGCGATTAAAGGAGAATGGACTCAATTTTCGTATAGTCGGTCGATGAGATTTGAAAATGATGTTGACCATTTTTATAATTTTTTTATTACTGCTGATGTAAATTTAATTTATTGTATATTTTTACCCTTATTTACTAAATATATTTCATTCTAATCATGTCGGAAATTAATCATATCGGATCAATCAATCAATGTACGACAACCATTTATAGCAAAGAAAATGATATTTTTATTTTTGAGACTCATAACTCTGTGTGTGTTTCTATATATGCATATGCGAGTGTATCTGTGTCCGTTTGTGTCAGTCCGTGTAAGTCTGTGTGTCAGTGTGCGATATAAAAACATTTCATTTTATTCTCTTTGTGTCTTGCTTTGTGTAAAACATCATTCGAATAATGAGAATAATAGAATTCGAATTTATTTTCATCTATGTTGATGGCATATATTAAATGGACAAAATGATGGCAATAATGTTATTTATACATGTTTAAAATTCTGTATCATATTTTAATTGTCGTTTCAATAGCTCAAATCGTTTCACCGGTTCTAAATCCCTGGTTTATTTCGACCCATGCTAAATGTGCCCAGATATGACATTTGCTTTACTATTCAAAATATGGAAATGCAACAATAATAATGGTCGTAGTAACAATAGTAATAATAATCACAATAATAGAATTAATTATCTTTATGTTGTGTACACTTCTTTCATTATCTTCTTCCCAAAGAAAACTCACCCACTATCAAACATTGATAAATTACTAGAAAAACTGTGAGAGTTAAAGTTTGCCCCACGTTTGATTTTCTTACCAACCAGCCACTTTTTTTTACAAGTAGTAATCTCTGCGTCAAACTGGTAATTTATAATATCGATAAAAATCCTAACCTAATAACTAGAATAATCGTCTTTTAGTTCCGGGACCATACCACAAAAGTCCTAAATTTAGAAATCTTTAACGATACACACACACATTTGAGAGTAGTAACTATCGTATTACTACCATAAAGTTCGCCGCATCAATTGTGCGACTCCTGCAATTTTGTTTGCGCGACCCACACCCACAAACTCTTTCAAAGCTAAGTTAAGTCAAAGTGCCCAACTTCTTTCCTTGCACGGCTGTCTCTCTTGCTTCCCGCCAGTCAAGACTAACAATAATAACAAAAAAGGTGCGTGTTTAATTAGTTCTTTACATAACCCTCTTTACACAGTCATTTCTCTCAATCGCTCATTTTCATATTATTTTTTTATTATTTTTTTACCATATTATATTATTACTGTTGTGTTATGTTGTTATTGTATTCTTATTACTATCACTATTATTATTGTTAGTATATTATTACCTTGAGCAAGCGAGTGAGTGTGAGCGAAGTGAATGAGAGAAACTTGACTTTGTCTGGTGTGTTATATCTTTTATCATATCATAAATAAATATATTTATTTTTATATATATATATATACAAACAACATACTCTCTATATATAAAAATAAATATATATTATTTGCCCTGCTGTTCCTACTGGGTTGTTTGTTCGTCATCTCTTTTTCACATCTAACAAAACACTCACTTAGGGGCTCGCAATTTTCCAACTGTCACACTCCTTAGTCCTCTTTTAACAAAACTAAAAAAAAGCTCAAATCTCCCGTTCGTAATTCCGTGCCGAAATCTCGGTTATGATAAGTTCCTGATAGCATTGTTGCCCAGTCAAATTGAAATACTCTTCCCCCCTTCCAATCTTTCACCCGACATCACCACCGCTACCAATAATTAATTAATCAAGCAACAACACTTGTCGAGTTGTCCATCGTATTATTCGTGTCACTCTCCTCATAGTTGTTCTTTCCTCAAACTCACCTTACACCACCCACCTCCACATCTTTAATCTCTCGTCCTTTCAATCGCAACGGTACTTGTTGGCTAACTTCCTCCCTACTCTTTGCATTCACGGTTGTAAATAACTTGCTCATTTTGGTTAGCTTCATACTATTATTATTATTATTATTATTTGTCGTTTTCCCTACTATCATTATCATTTTGTTTACACGTTTCACTTATTATTGGTATTCATTATAATCTTTTGTTTCGCCTCTTTTCTATTTATTTCAAAACGTCCAACATAACCGTGGAATTGGTTCTTTTAATATTGGTTCGCTTTCAACCGCCGTAAAAAATATTCAATTTGACTGACGATATATTATTGACGATATAAATATTTATTACTTCCATATTTATAAAAAAATTTTTGGATAATAAAGAAAAAACATGAGCCATACAGCATCACCTATCACGCAAGTTAGTCCGGAGCATGGAGAACAGAGTGTAATAGCACAAATGCCCGAAGATAAACCAAAGGTTTCCCAAAAAGCCGAAGGTAAGAATTTCATGATAATGCTTCATTTCTCTTCATAACTTCTCTATATAATATTTTTTGTGAATGTCCTTTGATGAAAATAAATATTTTTTTGGTGGTGAAAGGGGAACGAGTGCGAAAAAAGGAGGGTTCGAGAAAGCGCAGGACTACAGGAATTTTAAAAAAATACGCCGCTTATCCATTTATCCGATATTTCTGTTGTGGGCGATCTAGATGTAGTGTTTCGTTTCGTTTTTTTATCTTATTTATTTATTATTTTCAATAATCTTTTGTATGATTAGTTTTTCTGTGATTGAAAACATTTTTTGCTTGAATAATATTCTTTCGTTTAAATTTTTATTGTCGTGTTTTATTATTTGCCTTTGGATTAACGATAATAATAGATGCGGCCCAACATAAAAATGTCTCAATTAGCTCGACGAGTGATACGTCGACAACTTTGGCGCCAAATCCAGGACATACTACCGTATCAGAGCCAAAATCGGAAGTAGCATCAAAGGTCACGCAGCGAACACACAGATCACTTTTCTCCCTGTTTTTCTGTTGTGCATGGAGTAATAGCGCTACAGTTGATAGTGGGACTGTGATTGCAATAGACACAGTCAATACGGGCACTCCTCCGGATACCATAGGCACAAGACATCCACCAACCATACCCGAGAAGGATGAAGAAAAAGTACCAGAACCAGAACCGGAACCAGAACCAGAGACACCTCCAGTTGTAAGCGTTCCTGTCGAACAACCCGTGGAAATTGTAAGTAATAATATATATAATATATATGGTTGAAAAATATATGTATGAATCTCCAATTAATCCCTAGATTTAATTTTTAGGCATTGGAGCCAAAAAGGCTGCTTAATCCAATAAGTCCGGAACATACAGGGCGTAAATGTTTGGTTTTGGATTTAGACGAAACATTAGTGCACAGCTCATTTAAAGCAAGTTTCTTATGTTTTCGTATTCCAATGTTTTATTGAATAATGTTACATACTAATTTTTTTTCAATTGTATTTGTATCTCGTTATTTTGACTTAACAGCAAATTCTTCATGCCGATTTTGTCGTGCCTGTTGACATTGAAAATCAAATTCATAACGTCTATGTAATAAAACGACCAGGTGTTGATCATTTTCTAAGAAAGATGGGAGAAATTTATGAAATTGTAGTGTTTACTGCAAGTTTATCGAAGGTCCGTGTCCTCACGTAAATTCTTATCTGATTTCGAGTAATCACATGACTAAAATATCGTTTTTTACTAATAATACGTAATTAGTACGCCGATCCGGTACTTGATATGCTAGATCAAAGTCGTGTAGTAAAGCATCGACTATTTAGAGAGTCATGTTTTAATCACAGAGGAAATTATGTAAAGGTGAGGGAAAGAAAGAAACACCGGATATTTCAACAGCAGAGCTAATTATTCGATTTATTTAGGATCTGTCACAACTCGGACGAGATTTAAGAGACACGATTATAATTGACAACTCACCTGCTAGTTATATCTTCCATCCTACAAATGCTGTACCCATATCTTCATGGTTTAATGATCCACACGATACAGAATTATTAGATCTCATACCGTTCCTAGAAAAACTGACAACAGTGGATGACGTAACAATGGTTCTGGATTGTTCCATTGAGGCTCAATAGGTGATGGCTAGGCAAGCGAAAAAAATCGGTGATGTTTGTTATTCAACTATTATGGGCCGGAAAAACGATCACGTCTGCTTTCATACCGGTATGGGGATTGTTAAAGATGTAATCTTCTTTAATATTTTGGGACCCTGAGATGTGAAGGCAGTTCGTGGGAAATGAGACTTTTTTTTATTTTAATTAAGAATTTTTCAGTCCAAGTTTGGCGCGGAATCGGGCAATTTGGGCTTTTTTCCAGTCTTGTCAAAAAAAACTTTTCAGTTACAAATGAACAGTCTCAAATTTACTCACACACACACATACACTTACTCATATACTCACTACACAAAAGGCAAAAGAGAGATTGTCATTTTTCTTATTAATAATAATAATAATTTTTTCCCCAATAGTGCGCGGGATGTATAATATCTTTATTTTCTTTTATGTTATTGGGTGGGTTGCTTTATTTTAAATCAACATTGGGAAGTCCGTTTTTTTCTCTATTTACTACTACTACTATTATTATTACCTACACAATACAACATACTGCTTGTTCAATTTAGAAAAATATTAACAAGGGAATTTATTTGGACTTATGATCGGCACCGCCGGGCGAGTAAGCCGATCTCATGTATTTTTGACTTTTCCTCCATCTCTATTTCTCCCTTCTCGTTCAACACCTACGTTTATTATAATTCTATAAATATTATTGTTAATTTTCTTGTTAAATTTGTTCTTTCAGTATTATATAGGTTTTCCCGTGATTAATTATTATTGTTATTAGTTTTCATCTTCATCTTAGTTTTTCGTCCTCTATTTTCTTATTTTTTTTTCTTTTTTTCCTACTCCTACTTAATAATATACATAAGATTGTCGTACTTTTTTTTCCTTAATAATGTTATTTGTAGATTTCATTTATTTTATCAAGAATAATTATATACAACTTCGATTCTTCGACCTCTCATTGGTGAGAAGTTTTACATAATAATTATATCATATATGCTGAATCATATACAGTAAATAGCACTTACTATAATTTTTTAGCTTTGTATATTATTTATAAAAAAAATGCATTTATTATGTTGTTGAGTGTATATTATTTGGTTCACTTGGCACTCTATATATATATAATTCTTTTTCAGATCTAACAGTAAATACCATCGATTCTCAATTAATGCATTTTACCTATTAATGTAACTTGAATTGGCAAACTTCAAATTGACTAGCAATTTTTATCGGTTTTTATTCCTAATCATATCTTAGAAAGAGGCAGACTTATTAAATACAGATACTTCTAACGATTAACCTGTCCTTCTTTCGCATTTTTCTGCAGCAAAAAAAAGATCAGAATTTTGATTTACTACTTTTTCATCAATTCTTTATTAATCGCATCGCTTATGATAATACACACTTGCTTATCGAGCTATCGAAACATTAAGACTAGGTTTTTACAAATTTCCGTTCTAAAACAGCAAACCTACAAAAGGTATTGGGAGTTTGCCAACGAAAAAGGCTTAAAAGATAAACACAGCAAGCCTTTTTTGTTAAAGCTTTAAAGATAAACACAAGCAAGCTTTTTGTTCAAAAGGCTTTAAAGATAAACACAAGAAATCTTTTTTTGTTCAAAAAGCTTGAAAACAAAAGAAAGCCTTATTTGTTCAAAAGGCTTGAAAACGTAGAAAAGCCTTTTTGTTCAAAGGTAGACGCAATTAACTCACTCAATATAGTGAAGTTATATAATATTCTCTTATAGGGAAGATTATTTTCATGAGTTATACCATATAAAACGTTTGCAGTAAGTTTTTGAGTATCTTGAAAAGGTGTTGATTAAAAAATGACTTTTACCAAGTATAAGTTTATTTCTTCCAAACGTGCAGTTTTTTGTTGGAAAAACGATACTCAAACAACGAACACACTGAACACATTTTTTTGATTCATTTTTATTTACAGGGAAAATAATGAATATTTCTGACTAGAAAATAATGACATATCAAACGCGTTTTGTTGATTTGAATTTTTTTGTATAGAGAACGTAGAGAAATGACCAGACTGATATACTATCTTTTGCGTTTTGTTCTGTTTATCTCGTATTTTACTAGTAGATGCGTTGGATATTTTTCGTATAAATGGCTTCTCTTGCTTATTCTCTGGAAGAAGACGTAAGTCTAGTTATAGTTATTCTCGTCGTCGTGGTTATGGTGGTTATTATCGTGGTAGTCGATATTCTCGTCGTTATTCGTCGCGACGATATACTATAGTGAAAGATTTTAAACGTATGGAAGTGGTTACTGGTAGTGATGGGAAATTTGATGGTTTGAGTGTTATGTTTGGACAAAGTACGGAAACGAAAGCGTTACTTACGGTGAAAAAAGTTATATAGCGAATATCGTCCGTATAAAGTATATGTTCATTATTATTCGTGTTATCAGGTTGCTAACGCGTATGCTCAGAAATGGGGATATGGTGTAGCTAGCGATATTGATAAGGGGCGTTTGGTTAAATACGAGCAGGATGATTATAGCTTCTTGAATAAAACTGGGAAGTTTTAGTTTGTTTGAAAAATGGAGCAAGATATATACGTGTACAGATTTAGGTGTACGGCTGTTCCAGCTACTGGAACGCAGATTTGGTGAATTGCTTATTTGGCGTAAGTATGAAATGAAGGGTCGTATGAAGGATAACGGTATTAGAGCGTTGGTTAGTGATGATGATGGTAATGATAGTGAGAAGAGTAGATATCGTAGGATTATTCATGTAGAATATTAGTGAGTTAAAGGTGATTACGATTGTAATCTTTATTATATACCATTGTTTTTTTAATATAATCTTAACCCTGACCCGTTTGTTAACTTTGTTGAATTTTGGTTATCTTATCGTTTGGGTCAGGGTAAGGGTTAGAGTGGAGGACAATGTTATATGTAAAATTGCTTTCTCGACATTTTTATTAGTGCTTCAAGCCAGATTTTTCGCTTTTTGTGCCGGATTTGTTTTGCATCCTTATTGGTTTGCTATGTGCATGTGATCAGGAACCGAGCACAGATTCTACTCTTGCTCACGTGAGTTTTTTGTTGTCGTTCGATCAATATGGTCTGGTTGTGACTAGTTGTGGCGTGTTATGACAACTAGCCAATTATATACTAGCCTGACCGGTAGAATCAGCTGATAAAAATTTAATCCGTAAATATGAGAAGTTTATACATTTTATAAAAAACGTCGAACTCCGAATTCTATATATAGCGACTGATTGTCCGCAGAAACTATCACGTTAGTCCTGCATTTCACATGACTATATAATTCAAAATGTTAGATTTCTATTTTTCTACCAACATTCCAAAATGGCGCGCCACCGAAATGTCCGAAATATTAAAGTTGAATGTAAGAAAAAGACATATTGGCCTGCAGTGTGAAGAAAGCCTCATCTATTTTCATTAAAAACTTCATTAATTCATTTTTAGCGGTTTTTGAAGAAGAGGGATATTACGATGATTACGGAGAAGGGGGTATGCTCAGTTTTAATATCTCTGCTGCAGTATTTACTTAGTTATCTAACAAACACTCTCTGAAACAATATTCAAGAAATGACACCAAAACAAACAGGTATTTTGCATGTATTATTAAATGCGTTACTTTGATAAATGCAACAAAGAAAATCAACAATTATCTGGTTTATTGCGCTACTACGGAATCTTTAATATTGTGATACGATAATACTTGATCTTTGGGCCGAATAGAACAAATGAAAACGGGACTACAACAAGTCAGACAATTGATCGGAGTCGATACAGGCATTACCGATGCCGAAATCGAAAATTCGTTATGGTACTACTATTTTGATACGAAAGAGACTATTAATTGGCTTTTAGGTAAGACAAAAAGGAGAGAAAACTTCATATTTTCTTGCTCGTTACAATATTATTCTGATACAATAATAAAATGTGAATGATTGGTACTTGCAGGAAAAATTCACAAGAGTCAAGCAGAGAAAAGTAAATCTGCCTCATCGCTGCCTCCTACACAAGAAGAATCGCCATCACTACCGCCAACATCAAAAATTTCTCAAGCACCCGCCAAAAAAGGTGATTTTCCGTTAATGTTTTTTTTTTGTATTTTTTTTTGTATTTTTTTTGTTCTTTATTTTTTTCTATTAATGTTGTTAATATGCAAAAAATTTTGGATGGCGAGCCAAATAAAAAATATTTTTATTTTACATAAATAAATCCGGATTACTATAGATTTGTCTTTGTGTTTCGAAATACAATATAATATATAACTAGATCGACCACAGTTGTAGAATCTCAAATAACAAAACCCCTTCTTTTGCCATATATGGTTATAAGAGTTAATCGAGTACCACCACCTTGCAGTCTCGGAATTTCCCCGGATCTCAAAAAAACACAAATCACACATAAGAAAAAGTGATGATGAGACTTGCTCGAAAAGACGCGTCTATGACAAGAACTTTGTTGCTCCTGCTGATCTTTGGTCTTGGTATAACGTTAAATGGTCATGTCAAAAAAATGGAAATTCGATAATAATTCCTGTTAAACGCCATATAATTGACTCACAAGGGAAAATGATAAGACAGATTGGCTTGCTTGGTGGGGCAGATAATCCAGAGTCTGACGATGGATTGCAAAAAAAATCTAAGTTTAAACCGGAGATATCAAAAAATCGCACAGGATTAGCTTCTTTATATGCCAATGACGGATTAAATCCACGTAAATTGGAAAAATCGAATTCTGAAAGTCTGACTAGTACTAGACTGGCATCTTTATCCCGCTCCAATACCGAAACGTCTACAAGTCGGCCATCTTTATCTGCCTTAGCACAATCGAGCGCTAGACAATCGAATAGACCTTCATTAGCCGATTTGGCAAAGACTGCCTCCTCCTCGAAGGAAAAATCCTCTTTGTCCTCCATTCTATCATCGAAAAATAAAAGTAACGAACGTCCGTCTTTATCATCATTGGCCCAAAAGTCTCTATCTCAGTCTAGCAACCGTGTGTCATTAACAAATATAGTTCAGAAACGTGATGATTTGCCAATTAGCCAATCTACTGTTCAACGTTCTGCTGAAGGCATTAAATCATTGCTGTCCTCTCAGACATCTATTGTACAACCTCCATCGAAAAATCAAAGTCTCCTTGAGAATAAAGCCCAAATTTTAAGTAACAAGAACATTTCAACGATACCAAGTTTATCGAGTTCTGCACAGATAAAAGTATCGATGACAAATCAAATTGTATTAGATACTAATTCCCCTGTGATTGTCTCCGAAAATAAAGAAAATGAAAACATGTTATTATTATCTTCGAATGCTTCTTCTAATTCTTTAATCGCGCCGCCATCCATTTTTGCAAAAACAATATTTGCAAAATATGAAGACGCCAATCCACCACCTATTATTATTGACCATTTTACGTTTGATATCTTCTCGTCAGGTGGAAATAGGAAAATCTTTGCTTTTAATCAACCAAGCCCCGATGATATTGTGATGAAGGCTCAAAGCCTAAAAGGAGGTGTAAATGCAAAAGGTAGATAAAATTTCTGCCTGTTTTAGTTCTATTTTAAATATTTAACCCAGATTTTGAATATAAAAGAAAAAGCCAAACAAACAACAACTGCAACAACTGCTACAACTCAGCAATCTACAATGACTACACCGTCAACTTCAAAGGTACGAAACATAATGAAATCATCGCAGCAAACGTCAAAATCAACAGAAGTTGAAGCAGAATTTATTGATGATGAGGATTCTATCATTGAAATTATTGAGAACGAAGATGATGAGCAATTAAGATTTGATTTGTCTGCTTTAAATCTTGCTCTAAATGTACCTGCCAAACCTTCTACTAGCAAATCTGTATCTTCTATACAAACAAAAAATTCGCAATCAATTAACGCAAATCAACCGAAAATACAACAAGTTAAACCTCCTCATAAGTTAGCTAATCGTATTGATGTTATGTCTGAATATAAAAAACGCACTTCAAATAAAGAATCTTTGAATTTGGTAGTAATTGGTAAGTTCATATCATGCTGCTACTTTATTCGATTATATATAATTAAATTATATAAGTTTTCCTCTTTTACAGGACATGTAGATGCAGGAAAAAGCACATTAATGGGACATTTACTTTATTTATTGGGTGAAGTGAACGAGAAAACAATAAAGAAATATGAAAGAGATTCTCAAAAAATCGGAAAATCATCATTTGCATACGCATGGGTTCTGGATGAAACTGGCGAAGAAAGAAGCCGGTTAGTTTAATATTCGTGATAATTTCGAGAAATTGTTCTTTTCATAATTTATTGTAATTTATTGTAGAGGAATTACAATGGATATTGCAATCACTAAATTTGAAACAGAACATCGACGGTTCACTTTATTAGATGCACCTGGTCATCGAGATTTCATCCCTAATATGATATCAGGGGCAGCACAAGTATGTAAAGTGATTATATGCATAGATTCATATCGTTTAGTTATTGATGAGAAAATATGAAAAAATAGGCCGATGTTGCAATTTTGGTAGTTGACGCGACTACCGGAGAATTTGAGGCCGGATTTGAGGCTAATGGTCAAACAAAAGAACACGCGTTACTAGTAAGAAGTTTAGGCGTGCAACAATTAGTAGTCGCAATAAATAAACTTGACGCTGTAAGTATTAATTATTACGTGTCTATATAATTATATATATATATATATATTTGATTTTATTTTATCTTCTTAATAATCGGAATCGTTGAATAATTCTTTAAAAAGGTTGGATGGTCGAAAGGACGATTTCATGAGATTGAAGGAAAACTTGATACTTTTCTAATGCAAGCTGGCTTTAAACGTGATAAAGTGCGCTATATACCTTGCAGTGGACTAACAGGCGAAAATTTATTGACAAAATCTGAAGAGAAACTCGATTGGTATCCGGGGCCAACATTAGTTAAACAAATAGGTTAATTAAATAAGCAAATTCAATAGACTCTATTTTATTATTGATCTACTTTAATATAATAATGTTCATGTGATGTCCTATTAGATTCTTTTGAACCACCTACACGACTTCTAGACAAACCATTTCGTCTCTCTGTAACAGATTTCTTTAAGGGTGGATTGGGCGGTGGTGGTGGCGGCGGAGTATCTGTGGCAGGTCGAATAGAGGCGGGTACAATACAAATTGGCGAGCAAGTTTTAGTAGTCCCAGGAGGAGAGTATGGGACAGTAAAAGGTAAGAATTATTTTATTAAATAAATTTATCGCTTCATATATGCTAAAAAGGAAAATACTTTTTAGCTATAGATTTAAATGATGAATCCTCTAAATGGGCTGCGGCTGGTGATTATATCTTAATGACATTGTCCGGTTTAGATATCATGCAATTAAGGTAACTCATAATTATGGATTTTATATAGTAGTTTATTATTATTGACTGTTTGTTTCTTCTTACTATGTGTATTCAGTATTGGCGCTATTTTATGCTCCCCTTCGCATCCGGTTCAAGTGACCTCGCATTTCCTTGCTCAAATTGTTGTCTTTGATGTCAAAGTACCTATTACAAAGGGATTCCCAGTGAGTGCTTTCATTTTTCTGTATTTTTCACAGTTTGATTTTCTAACGTCTTAAAAAAAATTCAGGTTATTCTTCATCATCATAGCCTTGATGAACCCGCTTCAATAGTCAATCTAATAGCTGTTATTGATAAAAGCAGCGGTGAAGTCACAAAGAAGAATCCAAGGTAAAGTAACAAATGTTCATGGGTTAACAATAACATATATAATTCATTTTCTGTATTTTTTGTTCTCAATAGGCATCTACCCAAATCAACAACAGCCACTGTCGAAATCAAATTGACAAATCGACCCATCCCTCTCGAGACTTTTCGAGAAAATAAAGACCTCGGAAGAATAACATTGAGAAAGGGAGGTGATACTGTCGCTGCTGGTGTAGTAATTGAAGTAAGCAGTTTGTTATACTTTCAAATAGTTTGATACTGATCAACCAATAGCTCATTATTTTCTCTTATATTTAGATTTTATCTTTTGGATCCTGAAGAATAATAAGAGTTCGAGTAAATTAAAGCTTTCCTGGGATAGATGTGTTTTATTAGCGAATCTATTATTTATATCATCATTTATATATTTATGTTTTTTTGAAATCATTTTTGTATGTGTGAAATCAATTTTGTAATATTCAATTATTTGTGATTGGTCTGTTTCGATAGTTTTTAGGAAAAATGGAGGTGCTGGGGATTGAACCCAGGACCTTTTGCATGCAAAGCAAACGTGCTACCACTGCACCACACCCCCATTCGATTTTGAAATTGGATATTTTAACATTTTGTACCACTTTAAAACCTTGAGCAGTGCACGATGCGATTTTCCATTCGACCGTTTTCTATTTAATTTTACATAGATCAAAGATTGAGGAATACTTTGACCCGAGTTCCATAAACTTTACACAGAAAATTGAGTGATCATCGATATAACCGTGGGACAGTTCACAAAGATTTTCCACTCACATTCGACTTAAACCCATTGTGTATAAATATCGATATGCCAACTTCATTAACTTTACGTATAAATAGATTCCTTTAGGATTGGTTTTCTTTTCTTTATTCGTATAAAATAGGACGGTATTTATTAGTTCGTAAGGCAGTATAAGCGAAAATAGATATTCGATATGCCCGGTGCAGACGTTTTATTTGCACCCGACTATACATCGGTTTCATTTGACTTCGAAGACTTTGTAAGAGAAGAACTAGGTCTTGGTCTTCACGGGCCAGGTAGACAAAATTAGCGAAACATTTTGCATGTTTAATTTATTTTTTACAAATTTCCAACTAATAAACACCGTCGAAATCACAAAAGATCAAATATGTCAAGCATACCTTCGAGGAAACTGTCACAAAGGCTCCAAATGCGAGTTCAAACACACAAACAGTGCGCGAGAGAAAGCTGTCGTATGCAAACATTGGTTACGCGGTCTATGTAAAAAAGGAGACCAATGCGAATTCCTTCACGAGTTTAATATGCGAAAAATGCCAGAGTGCTGGTTCTATTCGCGATATGGCGAGTGTAGTAACGAGGACTGCATGTATTTGCATATAGATCCCGAAAGTAAAATAAAAGAGTGTGCTTGGTATGCAAGAGGATTTTGTAAACATGGTGAGTAGATAGTATAAATATTTATTATGTGATGGTGATTTTATTAAATTTTTATGAATTGATAAATATATAAAGGGCCAAATTGTCGTCATAAGCATGTACGCAAGGTTGTGTGTCAATTGTATCTGACTGGGTTCTGCCCAAAAGGACTGAATTGTCCTAATGGACAGTAAGAATATTTTGTTTGTTATTTTGTTTCATACTTTCTATTGATCAATTAATCAAAATTAATCAATAGTTTTTGTTAATAGTCCAAAATATGAATTACCGAGTGTTCAACGTGGTGATTATGATAACACGGAATTAGACAATAAACATAATGAAAATAATGCTGATGAGGTAAATGTCAAGATAAAGATAATGAAATTTTTTAATTTATTTTTTGAAACTAATTATTATGGGGTTCAAGCAGAATCAACGACCTCAAAATCATCATATTGGTTATCGACCGCTGTCAGAGGTTACATGTTATAAGGTAATAAATAATTGATTTGATCATAGATATTAGCATAATACCTTCAGTAATTTTTATTATTTAATATAGTGCGGACAAAAAGGTCATTTCGCAAACCGATGTCCGAATGGAGGTGGAGGTGGCAATAGTGGTGGAGGATATCATAATCGTCATCGGGACCGGGACCGAGATCGTGATCGCGATTATCATAACAACAATTTTAAGCACGATGATAATAATATGGCAAACAAATCTTGACGGACAAAGAACCAAAAAAGGTTTACGAAATTGGAACAATTCGAAAGGACTCTTAGGAATAGTTGTAAGCTTTACGTGTGTGTGCTTATAGAATTTTCGATTCTGTGAATTATTATTTTCTTGTTTTATTATTATATTATTGTTGTTTTATTATCACATTGTTATTTTTAGTAGATTTATCATTTTTCTTGAAAAAATTTATTTATCAGTTTCATTAGAATTTTTGTCTCGATTCGATATTTTTTATGATAAAATACATGTTTCGACAAATATGTGCATGTACAATAGTTTCACGTAAATAACACTTATAACTTAATACACAACTATACCTGAAATTCTTTTCTTCGATAAAGAACAATAACTCTTCTTTTACATTTATAACTCGTGCAATTCGGCAATTAGTCAAATCCCTCCGTTTACAATCACATCCCTCTATAATCACCCAATTTTGAGTTTCCCAACTATATTTTTATAGTTACACCCCTCTTTTTTGAGAGTGATTATAGAGGAGTTTGATTGTGTACTATTGTTACCATTTTGATTGACTTTCAAAATACTCAAAGGTATTTATAAATATTAAGGAATATTCAAAGAGAAACTTCCAATATCTTAATGACAATTCAAAGTATTAATAATATTTTATGACTATTAGACTGAATATGAATAAGTACTAAAAGTACTAACAATAAAATCACTTAAAGATTGGTAACAATTGTGTTTTTTTCTAAAGATTATAATATTCATATTATTAATAATACGAGATTGAAGGTGAATAATGTATTATTAGTAATACAATATCGAAGGTGAGTTTATAAGTAATGTATTATCAGTAATACAATCTCAAAACAGATTTATGAATTATAATAATAATTTCTTTATTTAATATAATGTTCAATAAATTTTGTCACAAATGTATTCAGATAATCTAATATTAAAATGAAAACTTTATAGTGTTTCTGGCAAACATGCTGTTACAATCCAGAATTATTCCTAATTTCTTAATTTCTTAATTCTAATCATGTGACTAAACATAAATTGTAAAGATAGCAAAGATAGCAGAGTTCTTAGATATATCAATATTATCTGTTATAGCATATTTATCTAATATGTATAACATATCTTATATTATAATATTCTTATCATGAAATATTTTATATAAATAAAGAATCTTTTGAATAAACCAAAAGACATTAATTAATCGATACAAAATCTAGCTAGTCAATAAATTACTTCTTGTTTATTGTTTAATAAAATTGTATATTAATTGATTTTATAATTAATATTGTTATAACACTTATTTTTATTACACTGTTATGATTGGAAATTTCTATAATTCCTATAATTTCCATAATCTTCATAATTCTTATAATTTCTATAAATTCTATAAATTCTATAAACTATAAAAAATTCTATAATTTCTGTATTTTTATATATATATTAATTAATCAAATTTTATAAATTATCATTTTTTATATAATTAATCATAAATATAACATTTACTAGTAGAAAATATTTATTATAAATAAAGTACAATTGAAGCTTTGAAAAAGACATCAATTGATCAATACAAAATCTAGTTAGTCAATAAATTACCTTTTGTTTATTGTTTATTATTTAATAAAATTGTATATTAATTGATTTTATAATTATTAATCTTGTCATAACACTTACTTTATACACTACTGGACACTCAATCAGATTGCTATAGAATATTAGTACTATATTGTTATAAAACTGTCACTATACTAAATAAATACAAAGAAAGATATTTATTAGTAATAGTGTTACCTATTCTAAATTAATAGAATAGAAGAAGTCACATAGTACCACGATCCTAAAGCAACTGGATCAAAATATAAACTTACTGAAATAGACATTGGTTGAATATTTACATTATAAGATTATCTATCTGAGCCCAAAACTCGTGACAATACACTACTGAACAATTCAACCAGGTTGTTATAGAATATTAGTATTGTATTGCTATAGAACCAGCCATACACTAAATAAATACAAAGAAAGATATTTATTAATAGTAATGATCTTATTTTATTATTAAAATAAAAAAAGCTATATTACACACTGATCCTAACTAACACAACTAGATCAAAGTTAATAAAAAGTCAAAAAATTACAATAAATATTGATTAAACATTCACGTTACAAAATTACTTATCTAAATCTGAGACTTGTGATAATGTTCAAGCTACTATAATATTGATTCAAGATCTATATAACACTTATAGCAACAGTACTAAAGCAATTATACAAAAAACAAGAATATTTTGTCAAAGAAGTATAGAGAGGAGTTTGCACTTGACTATCTATTCTATATAAAGTGCAAACTTTGCTCATTTGAATGATCAAAACTATATAATAACTAGCTATAAGATAATAATTAAGAATATTACTATCGAAGGACTTGTTCTAATTTAATTCTAATATCTATAATGTTGCTTTTATATAAATTCAAACTATAATTTATCATCTATACAAATTCATATTTGCTAGTTCACTTCAATTCTATTAATCTAATATTTGCTCATTCATTTACTTATTTGTTTGTTTATTTGCTTATTTATTTGCTCATCCCACATAATTAAGTTCTTTTAATAAGATATAAGATATTTACAATTCAATAATATTAAGTATAAATAATCCAGTAAAATATTCAATCAAAGTTTGTTATATAACACTATAATTAAAATCTTGATATAATGATGAAAATTCAAAAATTGATAAGGATTACTTTCTCATATCATTATCAAATATAATTATTATATTTACAAAACAAAAATTGAGAAATAATAATTGATATATGAATTAAAAATTAATAGTTGTAATGTTAAATATTAATAAAAAGAACTATAAAAATTTTTATAATTTGGTTAAATATTTTAAATAAAAATTTTTATAATTTGGTTAAATATTTTAAATAAAAATTTTGATGTCATTTATAAATATTAATAAATTTTATATAATACAAAAATAAAGTAATGAAGATTTAACTGTATAATAATTAAATTAAATATAATAGCTTTATATAAATATAGTATATATCTTAACTCCAAAAAAAATTAAGTTATTATAGAGTAATAATTTCTTATCAATAAACTTTAAAGTTATAATTATATATTATATTCATTTTAGTTTTAAAAGATAAATTATTATTAAATAACCAATTGTTATAATTAACTTGAAAGACAATCACTTAAAAGACTTATTATCTTGAATTATCAATTTTAAAGTTATAAAGAAACTTAATAAAATTTAGTGAAATTATTGGACATTATTCTAGTTTATTATAACAAGAATATACATTAACTATTTTTAGTTATAGTTTTTAGTTTTTTTCATTAAAAAAACTTAATCTCTTATATTTTTAAGTTAGTAGAAACACATAAATAATATGTAAATAACTTAAATTTCACAAAATAATAATATTATAAAGAGATTTTTTTGCTATATTTATATATAAATAAAAAAGCAAAATAAAGTGATTATAAAGAAATGTGATTATATATAAATATAATTATAAAGAAGTTTAACTATAATTATTTTAAATACAAATTTAAATGGATTAGAATTAATCACTTTGAAAATTGGATTGGATTTCTCAAAAATAGGTACTTTTGTATTCATAATATATATCTTTAGTAAGGAATATTAATATATAATAATGTTAAGTAACTTTGCAAATTAGACTATTTTGGCTTAAGATTCTTTTAAAACTATTGATATTAGAATAAATAAATTAAAACAGCTAATAAGAAACAGATACCAAGTTTTGTTTAATTTAGCAAAGCAAAATAATTTACCTTATATTATTAAAGGACTAGTTTAGAAGTAAAGTTGATTTTTGATAATTATTTTGCATTAAAAACTATAGAAATTGAGCATAAAAATCTTTGTTAATCTCTTAATTAAATATACTTGTTCTATAATTAAGAAATAAATTTAATAACAAATAATTATTTATTTTTTAATAAGTTAAATATAAATAACTTTATATTTGTTATTTAATTAATTAATTTAAATATTAAAAAGTAAGTTATTATTAATTTATATATGTAATATAATATAGTTAATTAATTAATTTATTTATTTATTTATTTATTATTTTAGAAATAAATTAAATATAAAAAAAAACAATTAATTATATTAATAAAACATAAAATAAAATAAAATCAACAACTATCACTAATTGTTGAAAATTTATTAGTATTTTATTAATAATATTATTATTATCAATTATAGAAATACAAGTAACTTTTTATCATAATCATTAATTTACTATGGATCAATTAATTACTAAAATTCACAATTTATTACCAATATTAATAATTATATTTGAAGATTATATTAATAATAAAACACTAATTATTACTGAAAGTTTTTTAATTGAAAATGAAATTATTGAAATAATTCAAAAACTAAATAATTTTGAAGATAATAAAAGTGATAATGAAACATTACCAGTACTAATTATTCTATCCAAGCAAGTATTAGATAGACTTCAATTATTTCTTAATTTTGTGAACAATAATCTGATAATGATGAAGAAATTAACAAAGATAATTTGATAATATTTCAAAAATATATATCTATTATGAAACAAAAAATATGAAACAAAAATTAATTGATAATTTTTTTACATTATTTTTATCTTTATAAATAATTATATTAATTATTAATTACATATTGTTATATAATGAATATTTTATTATATCATTTATACTTAATATTATTGGATTATAAATATCTCATATCTTATTGAAAGAACATAATCATGTGAAATAAGTGAGAGACTTAGCAAGCAAATGAATGAACAAGTAAATGAATGGATGAACAAGTAAATAAATGAATGAACAAGTGAATGAATAAGCAATTATTATAAATAATAGTTATTACAAATATATTTATACTTATTTTAAATTAAAAAAAATTTATTATAAAATTGAACTTGCAAGAGAAAAACAATTAGATTCTGAATAAAAATAACTGTATTTTAAACTTTGAACTCAATACATGTATATAAAAATAATTAAAAAAATAATGCAATAAAAAATAACAGATAACAAATCAGAAATAGATTTTTCATATTTGGTATTATGAATTTTATTATATTAAAAAGAAATAATTTGCTAAAGTTTATTACAATATTTTTTATAAGAAAACAATCAAATCCTGAACAAAAATAACTGCATTTTTAAACTTTGGGCTTGATATAAAAATACGTAATCAAAAAATAATGCAATAAAAGATGACATCAGAAATAGGTTTCCCATATTTGGCACTGCTGGACTTTACTACATCAAAAAGAAGATATTGTCTTATTATGTTATAAAAAAAATTAATTAATTTGCTAAGTGACTAATCATCTTTATCATATACTGAAAATAGTTTTTATCTGAAAACTTACTATTCCTTTGTCTACATAGATTATATATTGATATTTATTCAATTAATAAAACTCAACAGAAGTGTTTAACGTTAACGTTAATTGATCGTTCTAAATATTGATGCATTTATACGATAATTGTAGATCATTTATACCTTGCTTAGTTGGTCTATGGCGATAGGTTTAATAATTTAAAATACTATAATGTCGCAGACTTCTCCAACGTCCCTAAGTTCTCCAATACTTTCACCACTTTCTTCACCGGATGGAGGAGGGTCTGACGGAACTGCTCTTGATGGTGAGTCAGTGAAATATAATAAAATGCAATTATCTAGCATGGCTTTTTTTTGCTGCTGTTTCTATGCTGGAAGTTATGTTATTATTCATAATTATTATTACGTATTTTAGACGAGTCAATTCAACGACGACTTGACCGAAAACTTCGTCGCGAAGAACGCCGACAACTTCGTGAACAGAAACGCCAAGAAATCGAACGAGAATTCACGAAACAAGCAGAAGAGAGAAAACGCGAAAGACAAGCGACTTTAGAAAAGCTTGAAGAAAGTGATAAGAAAGACGAGGCCGAGTATCAAGAGTGGGTTGAGAAAATTAATACATTGGAGAAGGAAGGTGATAAAGGGCGAGAAAAGATAGAACAGGAGTTGCAAGAGGTTAGTAGTGTTGTTTTGTTAATTCTTAACAAATCTCAAAAGTCTACATATTATTTTTATACTTTATTAAGGAAATAAATAAGACAAGACAAGAACGTGAAGAAAGGCTCCGAAGCCCTGGTAAGGGCAGTGACATTTATTAGCTAATATTTTAGGGGGTGGGGGAAGGGTAGAGCTTGATCTTAAGTAGTTCAAAATTAAGCATTTTGATTGGGAAAAGATCTTACTTGGGGGTGAGGGGAGGAGGCACCTCTATCAAACTAATATATGTCAGCACTCTAATTCTTACTATTTATTAATTCGTATTTGAAAACTAAAATCCATGATTTTAGAAAAACGAACTTATAGTCCATCACAAGACTCTAACTTATTTCCGAAAATTTCCACGGCTGACTTATCACAAGTTCAATTACGATCATCACGGCGCGGTGTTCAAAAAGCTGATGCAACGTCACTATCTCATGATACAACAGGTACTGAAGACGTAGTAGTGTCTCCTAAAAATACTCCACCGAATTCGCAATCAATAGGAGAAGCAGATCAACAGCAAAAAACAACAACAGAAAATATCAAAGAACAACAACAAGAAGAATACGAAGAGGAGGAGATATCAAATAACAATGATAAAAAAGACATCCCTGAAAACTCTAAAAAGCTCGCGTCCATCATAACAAGCGGGGTCTTATTAGATGAACTCTCAAAAGAGGCACCGCTAACTGCTGAACCACAAGAAATAGAAGTCGTCTTAACATGGGAGAGTAAAAAAAATGTCAATAGCGCGCCTAGTCCGACAAATAAAGATGTGGATCGTTTGATTATTAAGGAAGAAAGAAAAGATACTGCAGATGCCTTTAAGGTAGATATCGCAGAAAATGAAAAAGTTGAAGAATCCTACTCGCAATCAAATATTGTCAAAGAATCGGAAGTTAAACTTGCAGATGAGGTAATATTAAAATTAAAATTAAAATAGACAATTTTGCAAAAAATTCATCTTTTTTTTTTAATTCATAGTCTGAAGGAACAAAAAAGACTACATCCAATCCTCCAACAACTACATCAACGACAACTCCTACATCACCCACAAAAACACTGCCATCACCCACTGCTTCCGATACTCACCGCGAAAATATAGCAGCACTTTGGCGTCAACGAGAAAAAGAACAAAAAAATGAACCGATTAAACCTAATCGTCCACCGCTACCGCCAAAGAAAAAATCAGTCTTAGATAAATGGAATGAGCAAAAAGCAGCGACAGCTGCTTTAAATACAGAAGGTGATAAGATATCAATAGGGGCAGACGATTCTCATGTGAAAAAAGTAACTGGAATAATTAAAAAAAAATCTATAGAAGTAAGCAGCAAAAACAACGAAAATGCTAATATTAAAGTATTATCGATCACAACAAAGGATACTACTACATTGTCTAGTTCTGAAACTGAGGTTGTTTCCGTAGAAATTAAAAAAGGAAGTGTCGAAGAAGTGATTTATAAGGAAGAAGAGTCAAAGAAAATATCTCAGGGGAAGGAAAAAGTAGAGATCATTGAGCGTGAAGAGACTATTATACAAGAGATACAAATTTCAAAAGAACAAAACACAGAAGTTAGTGTTGTCGAAGTAACAAGTACAAAAGATGAAAAAATAAATGAAAAAGAATGGAATTTACCAAAAGTTCCAGGCAAAATACAAACAAAAGCATTTTTAACTTCGAGTAAGGTAAATACAAGTTTTATCGAGAAATTGATTTCTTTAAACAATAATTAATTAAGTAATTGTTATGATAGGAAAAGGAAATCGAAGCATCTAATCCTCCTCAATCTGCCGAAATTCCAACCGGCGTCACAAAAAAGAAAAATAAAATAGCAGCGATGTTTGAAGAGCAAGAACGAAAGAGACGAGAGGAAGAAGCTGCTGCTGCTGCTGCACGGCCAGTTCCTGGACGTAAGGTGTTGAATAAATTGCCGTGGATGCAAGTAAGTTGATATTTATTATACTTTTGAATTTTCGGAGCATTCACGAATTTTCAATTATTTCTTTGACAAATTTCCATTAGAAAGAAAAGGATGAAAGTACAAGTAATACATCAGCTTCAGCTCCACCTCCACCACGTAAATTAAATGCTGTTTTCCTTACTACCACTGAAAACACCGAATCCGATTCAACTACTACTGAGCCGTCCAAATTAAAAACAGGTAAAATCGATTCAGCTATCTCGCAACGACTCGAGAGTGTATTGGGGAGTGGGAAAATTCCGTTACCGGGTATGGGACGTGGTGGAAGACGTAAAGTGCTTATCAGTGCAGAAGATGTAGAAGGTGAAGAAGAACGTGTTCGAGTGATTCCGGGATTAAAACGACCTGATCTAGCAGAGCGAAATTCCGATGACTCCAAAAAAGAACATGATGAAAAAGTAGAAAAGAAAACAGATGCAGGAGAAGGAGGATTGACAGAAGAAAAACATGAAAAGAATCCTCAAGAGCCAGTAACTTTTACCTCAAGACCATTAAATCATGTAAGTGAAATTTAGATTAAAAAACCAAATTGAATATTTATAATAAGACATTATAATTTTTACAGATAACAAAAGATCGTCCACGACGTCCAAAACCAGCTCGTCCATTACCTACACCCTCAAAAACAGAAAAAGTCGATGACTCAAAAACATCAATTGAAAAAGAACAGATTGAAGAATCTTTAACTACAGAAACAATTATAACTACTGAATCAGTCGAAAAAGTCGAGATTTCTGGTAAAACTGTAGTTGAACCCTCGACATTGGTAGTTGAGAAAGAAACAATCAAAGTAAAAGAGAAGGAACAGGTGAAAGAGAAGGAACAGGAAGAGGTAATTGGAACAGCTGAAGAAACAGTCAAAGAGACGGAAAAGGAAGAAGAGAAGGAACAGGAAGAAGAGGAGGAAGAGGTAATTGGAACAGCTGAAGAAAAAGGAATAGATAATGAAGTGGTTGTGGTGGATGAAACTGAAGAAAAAGAAAAGGACATAGAAAATGAGGTGATAATCATTGAAAATGTAAATTAATGAATAATCAAATGATTGGTGAGGAAATTTTCGGTCTGAAGTTTTGGATTTGATTTATTTAATTACCAATTAATATAATTGGAATTTTGTTTTTTTTTCTTCCAAACTAATAAACAATACACTCAATATTTATTATCGAGATTTAAAAGTTATTTCTATTGTTTTTGATTCACCAGAAATTTTTATATTAAACTTTTTGATAAAGTAACTTGTTCCAATTTCCAACTCCTTTCTGCTTAATTTCTTGCTGTTTCTTTTGCTCAATATCACCCTCGATCTTTCGTCGATGATTAAGCCCGTCTTTTGCGGCAACACTTAATACACCTGCAATCAGATCCACACTTCTGACACTATCATCATTTGCAGGTATCGGATAACTAACACGTCCTGGATCAAAATCGCTGTCCACAATCCCGATTGTAGGTATATTAGCAGAATGTGCTTCAGCGATGGCAATCTGATTCTCGATAGGATTCAAGATAATCATTAAATCGGGTTTGAATGCTTTTAGAACCTCCTGTTGTTGCTGTTTCGAATCTCGATTCAATGTCATCCTCGTTTCTTGTTCCTCGAGCAACATTTTTCTGAGAACCTGAGACGAATTTGTGATTGTACCGGGAATCCACCGTTTCGAAACCTGATACGCTTCGGCGCGTTTTGCCGCCTCAATTGTCACTTTACTAAATATCCCAGGTCTAGTACCAATAAACAAAATGATTCCACCGCGAAATGATATTTCACGAGTAACTTTACATGCACGACGTAAATAAATTAACGTTTGCTCTAAATCGATTATACTTATACCCGCTCGGGTTCCATAAATAAATGGAGAAGTTAACGGGTTCCAGAGTGATGTGCTGTGACCCAAGTGACAGCCCGCTGAAAGTAATAACGAAATCGAAAGATCATAAGGTGATGTTGGTGTTTTTGAATGTTGTTGTTCTTGTGCAGGCGTAAGTGAGATAATTGTTCCAGTTTCTTTTATTGAGTCGTTAACTTTAGTAAAATTTAAAGTGATTGTGTCGGATATAAAATAAATCATCAATGGATCTGATCAGGTTTACATGAAGGTAATGAAAGTTTGCTTACCTACATCTTTTTATTTTCTCTTCTGGTTTCCGAGGTATATACTTCATAGCATTTATATAACTTTCCTTTATGTTATTTCTTAAGGAAATGCTTGCATAAAACGAGGTCGAAAATGACCGCACGAAAAATACAACACCTACTTATAGATATAAACTTTAAATTCCCTTCCCTGATAATAAATCGCAAACTAAGTTTTTTCTCACGAATTATATATACCTTTTATTTTTGAAGGAGAGTTTGACAGTATCATTTCTTTTTATTTAATGAGAGCGAGATAGAAAAATTCAACACATGTATTAGGATCGACTTTTAAGCTGCTTTTGACCATCGAAGGTTGAATATTTTATTTGACATTAATTACTCTTGAATATTTTTTATTATCGTTATCACTTTGTGAAGTTTGAAAATCGAACCTTCTCTCATTTCCTATAAAAAACTCAGGAAATATTAATCAGAAAAGATCAGGATAATTTTTTGAGTTTTTTAAATATTTTCAGAAAAGAAAAAATAACCTGTTCTTGTTTTGAACCTTTATTTTTTATTTATTTAATTTCTGGAATTTACTAGTCAATCCATTAAATTTTCAATTTAGTTACAAAAATTCCTGCTCTTTGAAAAAATTTTGGTGAATTTCTATATTTTCTTATTATAATTCAGGTTATTTCTGGAATTAACTAGTCAATTTCTAAAATATTTCCTGATATTTTCTAAAAGAAATTAATATATGTTTTATTAAATATATGTTTTGAATATTCCATATTTTTATTTCTAAAGAAAATTGGTAATATTTATAATTTTTATTTATTTATTAATATATTTTATTATATTTTCTGATTTATTTTTGAAAAAATTGGTAATATTTATAACTTTATTTATTTATTAATATATTTTGTTATATTTTCTAATTTATTTCTAAAAAAATTAATAATTTTTATAATTTTTATTTATTTATTAATATCTTATTATACAAAAAAATCAGTAATTTTTATTTTTAAATTTGAATTTTTTAATAAAATATAGTAAAAATATTATTTTACTATATTTTATTATGTTTTATTAAAAAATTCATTAAAATAAAGTCTTTTTTGAATGGTATTTATTAAATAAAAATAAATTAAAAATTTTTTTTAAAATCAAAAATATATTTTTTATATTATAAAATATATTTTAATAAAATTCTTTTCAAAATTTCTTATTAAAAATATTTTTAAATAATTTTTTATTCTATTTTAATTGTTAAAAATTATATTTGATTATATTTGACACAAAATTTTGCAAAATATTATTACATTAATAAATTTTGTTCCTAATATTCTAAAAAATTTATCTACAAATTTTTATAATTTTTAAAAATTTTCTAATTAAGATATAAATAAAAAATACATTTGTTATTACTTTTTATACTATATATAATTTGAAAAAAATAAATTTAGTAAGACTTTTTTTGATACTTGTTATATTAAATATTCATGGATTTCACAATCTATTCTGTAAAACTAATAAATTCAAAATTTTTAATATGAATAGTAATTGCTTAAAATCATCATATTAATGAATGAATTATTACAAAAAAAAATTTATTCAAATTTTACATCAATATTAAATACAATATATAAATATTTTAATTAAAAATATACTAAATGAAATATTATAGAATTTTTAAATGAAAACAAAAAAAATTATTCCAATTAAAGATAAATTTGTATTTAAAAAATCTTGAAATTATTAATGATCTTAAACAAAAAAAGAGACAGAAAAAAACATAGTTTTATCTTAATAAATATTATTATAATATGAATATTTAGTTCTTATTTTATTGGTTAATTCATATTGTCACCATTTTCAGAGTCATTTCCTATGATGATATTTCTGAAATATGGCGAGTGACTGTGTTCAATTGAAAGG